ACTGAGACGGCGATGCCGGTTACTACACGGTGTCCAGACCCGACATTCACCGTACGGGTCGGGGTATCGCTTGTCGGTGCAAGGATGCTGCCCGTAAATTATATACACTATTGTATACACTATTATACAATGCCATACTTGTTTCTCTGAATGTGTGGGGCGCAATGGGCCTTAGATATTGAAGTATTACGCAGCGGAGCTCTCCGCGATGTGAACACCACGAAGGTTTACGTCAGACTAAGCTCCGGTTGTTTACGTTACGCCTTTTATCGGGCCAGGTCACCGCTAGTTATATAGTGCAATCTAACACAATAAACAGAAGAGACATTTCTTGTTTGGCGAGATATGCAACCTTTTATTCTGTTGTATCACAAACCATGCATAGTATCAACACGTGCGAGGCATGATGTAGGATAGAGATTGTCTCAAATATATTAACATGTGTCTCATGTCAAAAACCCGGCCAAAACCCGCCTAACTGCGTGAAAGAAACCAAGACCACGTGCGTATGCGAACGAAAAGGGGAAACCAGCCAATCGGGCACAAATTGTGTCGGAATGAGAAAGGAAAGGGGTTCACAAGGGACAAGCGAACACGTTTTAAATGTGCTTTAGCTGGCGGTCTAAAGCCCCGCGGACACTCTTGTAATACTGGAGGTTTCCCAGATCGGACAAGTGTAAGCCGTCAGGCGCATGCCCGTAGCCAGGATTTTGAATGGGGGGTTATTCCCACTGCTTGAGTGGACCTCGAGGTTCCTAGGGGTCCGGGGGAGCATGAGGCTACGGGCATGAGACGCAAAGTAGTTTGGGTTGCGTCTCCACAGACGTCTATGGTCCCATACTGTGACCTTGGGGTAGCTCTGCACAAGTCCCTTCAGCGCCTCCGTGAATTTGTGAAGGCGCTGAGGAAAGTCAGACATGTTAGGTGGAATATGGAGACGCCAGATATCTGGGGAACCTTGGAGGAGCGCCCGGTCTGCTTTCTGGTGGAGACCCACTCAGTGTACACGTAGCGTGCCGTGTCTATTATATATGGCAATACCTATTAAAAATTTCATCCTTATTTGGTAATACTTGCGTCAGATACCATTCTTTCCTAATAACTATACCTTACTCACGTACTTCCTAAATAATCAAACATAAATCCATACGAATGTGAGTTACAGCTCAGGGTACACATTTCATTCGTTGATGCATGCATCATATTAGCACCCTCAAAAACAAACAATACAACTTCCTACATACAATACGGTGTTAAAAACACACACATTTTAAAATACTAGTAGTACTAAAACAACAATCCGTTATAAGAAAAATTCCTTGTACTCAAGTTATATCAAAAGGGTTACAAATTTATACTATTATATTATTAAAATACTCACGTCGCCGGTGTGTTTTTTAAACACCGCCCTTGTTTTGGCTGTTCTTTTTACTGGACGTATTCCCGGTCTGTTTTTCTAAATCACGCTTCAGTATGCTAATTACAGCAAGTTGAAGGTTCATTGACCCGCATTTTACCGGAAGTCATCGGGACCTTTGGAATGCGGGCCAAAAATCTTGCGATTTCGGCTCTTTTTGGCTTCAGAATGGACATTCTGTAACCTCTACGACATATGCAGCATTTTCAGGATGAAAATGTGGAAAAACTGCTCATGGAAAGCGACAAAAACTGGTCTTCTTTGAAACATAAGCTTCTAAACTAAGATCGTACACTGATCGCCGCCATCAAAAATCCACATTTAAAGATATTCAAAAATCCTCGCGTCAGTTTTTTTGCTATATACTAATGTGTACCTATCAACAAAATATGGTGACCAAAGCGTTGGCCAGGGAAATTAATTTTTCTAATAAGAGGGCGTGGCTTATAACTCAAGATGGCGCCATGATTACGTCATCAAAATTTGCATAAATTATTGTCATGCACTAAATAAGGTACTTATCCCCAAAAAATTCAATGACCATTCGTAATGAAATGAAATAACCCTCACGAGTATTTCTAAGATGTCCCCAAAGTCCCCAGACACACTCCCAGGCCACAAATTTGGCCACCTTTAACCATTAGTCACTCCAAGAATCTCAGCGGCTACAGGCGGCCGATATAGACTCCCCTTGCCTCCAAGAATCTGCTTGGAGATTAAATTTATCCTACTGCGCCTACCAATAGTAGAACTCGCGGAAGCGGCCGCCCGGAACGATGACAGGATACGGCACGTACAGCATGGAGTAGAGATGGGGACGGTCCCGCACGTCAGGCTTTACCTGAGAACAGCAACGGTCATCATCATGGCATGGCAGTACACACCATTACACACCACACATACACATACAAACACAGGCACAAACACACACACACAACATACATACAAACAAACAAACAAATAAACAAACAGACACGCCAACACTCAACGCGCAAATACACAATAGCAAATGCACACACACACATGCCTACACACGTGCAGGCACAAATACAGGCGTACACGTGCGCGTCCATACACCACCCGCATACACTCTCTCACGCACACACCAATTAAACACATGTTTCTTAACTTTCACTAAATTAATAACAAGTATAATAAGCAAACGGTAACAGAATCTTTTGTACTGACTTTTCTACCCAGGCTCTTCCACAGCTCGTGGATCTTCCGTCCCCACTCCCTCAGACTGCTGTCTGCCACGTTGTCTAAAAACTTGGGACTATGAAAAACAGGCGCAAGGTCACTGCCTCGATAGTGACGTCAACATCAAAGCCAGGTTGATGAGGAGGAATTGACTTTCTCTTTATTCAGGTTAATAAACCGAGAACATGTTATAGCTCCAATATAGTGTTTGAAAAAAAATGATAACACATCACAAAAATGTCTACCAGAATGAGCACTTCAGCAGAACGTACTGGGCCTGCGCAAAAACCCTGATTTTTCCCCATGGTTTTCGTTGGATGTTTGATCAACGTGGCATCAGAATTTTCCCTGTTGCAGATATCTTGTCCGACACACCATTTGGAAACTACAGTCGGGATGTTTAACTTATACACGCAAATACGACCTTATATGAGCCGTTCTGCCGAAGTGCTATGCACAATACATAGCACGGGTTTCGCGCAGGTGCAGAACGTTCTGCCGACGTGCTATCAGAATGTACTCTTTATTCTTTATTTCAGGTAAAAAAAATACCCATAGCAGCGGTAAAACAATACATCTTAAAATAATGCAAAACTCTAATGAATACAAAAAAGACATAAAAATAACCTAGCTGCTTATAGTAACCCGTAACTGTGACGGAATAAAGCGTCTGTAGAAGGCGTCGGTCTTAGTAAGCGAGTAATGATGGAGTTATCGGAGGAAAATAATCGCTTTAAAAAAGAGTAACAAATCCTCCTCCGCCTACTTTCAAATGTGTCAGTGTACACTCAGTGTAGTGGAAAACGAACATCTTGCTAGTACTACATCGACGAGGTACTTTCATAACAATTCTAAAACAATTTTTGTATCGGCATTTTATATCAGCATATTGCTTGAGTGCATCATCACTATGTATTGTATTGTTTGCGTCTTGAAATAAATAATAAATCGCCATACAGATGGGCGCAATACGTCATAAACACGTATCTCTTAACTGGTGGAGAGCAACAATACACTATACTATACTATACACACCTGTCCCTCCAGTCAGTCGGCTCCCACACCTCGAACTCGGACCCCGGTGGGTCGAACCACTGATCCAGGAACCCCTGCATGACTTCTGCTGAGCTGATGTCAGCACCGCTCCCCGCCAGCGCGTCAAACGCACGGAGAATCTCATCTAGTACGCATCAAACATTTTTATTAAGGATCTCATTATTATCATAAAGTGGCAACACACTCAAGTAGCTAAGACTTATTTTTACGCTACCACTTTGAAAGAAAATGAGAGGATAAATCAACAAAAACGATTCCAATATAAAGGAAATACAGACGATAATGCATATGTAACACAACGTAATGAAGAACAAAGATGTTGAAAGCACATGACCAAATTCCCACCCAATGATCATAACGAACGCAGTGAAATGGTAGGACACAATAGAAAACGCAAGGAAAAATTGAGTTTTAGAAGCGTTATGTTACGGTAATGAATTGTTGAGTAAATGACTAGATTAAAAACGGATGAATGTAAGGGACTGTCATGAATTGCATCAAACATTATTCCCACTCCAAATGTCGGTACCAATATGTGATCATTGTCTCTATTATAGATACCCAATACACAGGTATCTATCGGGGAATCTACTTCGGGATACGATCATGCAGACGTTCACCACGCATGCGCGGGAAGTCCTGTTCAATTCCTAGAATTCTTGCAAAATGGGCACAAACTGTACTGTTAGACCCGGTGAGGTGTGGCTAAAAACGTAAGTCGAATATCTATGTACATTTACACAATTTACGTGCGTTTATGTCGATCTCTAGCTACGTTACGTATGTACAAACCCAAATCATGAGAACTTTTCCCCCAACTCCCCTCTCCCCCTGCTATTATACAAAATAAAGAAACTTTACAAGCATTTTTGGTAAATACAACTGTTCGTGCAGTGTCAGGAATGGAAGAATATTGAGAATGCACTTTCGATACTCACCTTGTTCTGTCTTCATTTTCATGTCCACAAATGTTTTGGAATCGTTGAAAACATGAGCGTTCTGGACTGCTTCTAACAGACGTCCTGAACAGTAGATCTCACTGAGGAGAAAACATCGGGAATTACCCCAATTTTACTCATCAACTAGCCCAATTCTATTTTAAAAATAGAAATATCTTTATAAAAAGCTGATACGTAGAAAGCACAACATCAGTAAAAAACGGATTTAAGTCAAAGGGTCTTGCTCTGATAGTTAAAACCTTAACGCGATATTACAGAAGATCTTTGCGCCAAAACTGTCCATATAGATAATTGAAATTTTCTCATGTAGATTGTCATTTTCAATAACTTTCAACATATTGGCGTCGCTATTTCGCTTTCCAGGCGACGCAGCGCAGCGCGATAATAAGTTGCGCCAGGCCCGCTGTATTTTAGGAGGCTCCTAAGAATAATGTAAACTAGAGGTCGGAGATCCCATGTCTTCGTCAGAGGTACATTGTTCTAGAGAAATGAACATGTGTATTCTTTACTTTTTTGATAATCAGTTTGGTCTAGCGTACAAAAGGATCTCTGTACTCCTTTTTTATGCTACGGAGCACCCTGAAAGGGTTCGCCACAGATTTAACACACGCGCCTTCACCCGTGTTAGGCCCCCTAAGTTATTTCATTTTGGACTGTTATTGAAAAAAAAAACTGTTACAAAAAATTCTGCTTACTGTATTAGTGTCACTTCGCAAAATATAATAAGAGAAGATCTGATGAAAGGAAAGAACCAGAACAGGGCGATTACTGCTGTTTTGTTGATTTATTTTTATATATATAATAGAAGACTTGTTACTTGTTACACTGCGTTTTTTTATTCAATTTATGTCCTAACAGTTGTATTTCTACAGTTAGTATATTCCAAATCTAAGCATCTTGTTTTTTCGGCCCTTCGTGTTTTTATCGCTCTTTCACGATAAATTTAAGGTCTCCAGTGGACATCATCCATAACAATTACTCGGTGTGGCCGTATGAAATAACCTGACGCATTTCCAAGCTTTCCTCTTCCCGCTGAAGTTATAATGAACCATACCTCGATGTAACATTATTTGATCCCATCCCATTATGGGGTTCCCGGCTATGGTCAGCTGTCGGCTGTCTCCATGCAGAGGTTGGCGGGGAAGATCGTTATTTCTGAACACAAAAGGTCCGCTACAGTGACGTAGGAAACCCCAACGAAGCCCGTTAACGAACTTAACCTTGGTCTCAACAAAAGTAACCTGCCTACCAAAAATTATAAGCATCAATTTACATATACAAACGTTATTCTGCTAACAAGCCACAAACACAAAAGGTGCGCTAACGTGACGTACGGACTCCCCACGAAGCCTAAACTTGCACTTGACTTCGGCCTCAAGAACGGTAATCAAAAACCATGGACGTTGAATTATGCCTTCAAGAGTTATTCCGCTAAAACCCACAATACGGCGGGACAATTCCATAGTCTTTCTGACGAAGACAACAAACACCGGTTTTTGTTCGGGTATCCTGGCAGTTTTCCAACACGTTTTTGCGGCGCAACGACGTTAATCTTTTACTCCCCAAATGTCATTATGAACCAAGGTAGGCTTATAGCGCAAGAAAAACAATGACGTTGAGAATAGTGAAAACCTTACATAATATCGCTTTAAGATTAGGATCGTTTTGATTAGGACATATTACAATGTTCATAGACCAAACCTTACAAGGTAGTAACTAGACTAGTAATTAGTCATTAATCAGGCAGGCACCGCTGAGAGGCTACTGTAGATGCAATCAGCCGAAACAAACATCCCTTTTTGTATCCAGAACCGTGTCTATCTATTTCTATGCCCGAATGGGCTAGCTTTAGGATAAGGTACGGGTTCTGAATAGTCTCCTTGTACCCAAGAGCGTAGATTTTCCCAGACAAGGTTCGGAATAGCTAGTATTACTCTCAGCGTATCCAGAAATTTGCATAGGACACGGTTCTTGATAGTCTCCGTGTATTCAAGAACGTACATTTGACCCAGGAACAGTTCTGAATAGTCGCCTTGTATCCAATAACGTATATTTGTCCCAGGTACGGGTCTGCATAGTCGCCGTGTATCGAAGAACGTAGACATGCCCCAGGCAGGGTTCTGGATACGTATGGACTATCCAGAACCCTGCCTGAGCATTGTGCTGGATAACGCACAGTTATGGATACAACAGCCCTCCCTCAAACACTCAGAAGCCCTCCTTTTAGAAGAAAGGTTAAACCGAACCTGTCACACGCGGCAATGTTGGCCAGGTTTTCTCCACCTCCCTGTGCTGAAGTCTTTCCACAAAACATCACTGAGACGATCATAAGAAACGGCGAACACCAGCGACTCGCCATTGCAGCTGTTGTTTTTTAGAGGACGTGTCTCGAGCGTTACTCTCTAAACAGCCCACAGTATTTGTATTGGACGGGGTCACCTTAGTTTTCTTACGTCAACAAGTGCGCATGCCATTTACATATCTTCTTTTTACCAGTAAAGTGCACAAAATTCGAACGTATTTGCTATTTAGTAACTGCTTGAATAAAACATGAGGGTAAAAGGACCGTCACATGGCATTTATTCAGCCTCTACCAACCTTCGTTAGCGACCAGAAAGAGTAAACTACCAGCAATTTAATTATTCAAATACTTAGATACATAACATTCCAGAAGAGTTGGTCCACTAAAGGAATACAGTTTGCTGTATTGGGCCTGGTAGAGGCGAGCATTTGTTCACTTTTCCCTGAAAACTCTGCAGAGGATGGCACAAACGGTCGAATAAACGCAAATATGGCTGGTTGTTTGTTTGTTACAGGTTTGAACACGTTGATCAAGAACAAACATTATGTTACTTATTACATAAACTCCCCGGGGTCAATTGGGATGTTATTTGTAAAACGGTTAATATTGAATCTACTGTAACTGTTCTGGTTGTTGTTGACATTCCTCAAACCCGTAACGCCCTGGTTTAGGGGTGAGGCAGTGTAATTCTAAAACTCCATCTTGTGTCAGCCAACGAAATGGAGTGCCACCCTGTAAGGGGCGTTATAACCCCTACTATACAACTTCACTAATTGACGTACTTTTATTTCTACTACTACTACTACTACTACTACTACTACTACTACTACTACTACTACTACTACTACTACTACTATTGCTAATGCTACTACTACTACTACTACTACTACTACTACTACTATTGCTAATGCTACTACTACTACTACTACTACTACTACTACTACTACTACTACTACTACTACTACCGTACCTATGCCAGAATGTGTGGTCGTGTGGCGTAACGATACAGCCTCAGACCCAAAAGGTCCAGGGTTCGAATCATGCCCGACGCCGCCGATCTTGTGCCCTTGGGAAAGGCACTTTACACAACTTTCCTCACTTTACTCAGGTGTGAATGAGTGCCTAGCTTCGGTTACGGATGTCCCTCGGATAGGACGTTAAATGGAGGCCCCGTGTTTGGTAGAGCCACACCCTACGCACGTTAAAGAACCCACCACACTTATCGAAATGAGGAAAAGAGTGGTTCAAACCTTACAGTCTGGTCCCAGGTTTGGCATCTTTGAAGACGGAGATGATATCCACCTGTTATGTTAATCCTTCCACAGATGTGGTAAATCTTCATAAAGTAAATAAATTAAATTGAATTAGAATTAAATTAGTGCCCAGGCACAGCTATGGTAACGTTATTCTCCGCGTAGATAGGGACTTAGATTTGCCCCCGGCACGTTTCTGGATCGTGCCTGAGGGTTGTTATCCAACATCCGTGTCATATCAGTCGACAGCAGAGGTTTTTCAGAAGGGATCACGTGACGCAGAGAAACACAGTTTACTAATCACACTGCGCATTCATCGGATCACCCTGCATAAGTTATGGGACAGTGCCGAGATCCTGCAAATGTGCATTGTTTGCTGAGATGAACGGGCGGGTGGGAAGCGTCCGAGACTATCTGACCCGAGACCCTGACTTCGCTCTGGAAATCCCGCATTGTCCATACCTAAGGGACGGCCCCAACATTGCTCTTTGGTCTTGCGGATGTCTCCGAAGAAATGGATAGAGTGATAAGGCGTGCATGCCTTATATGGCGTTGGTTAATTAGGTTATCACGGATGACCAATGACAGCGCAGTGTAATTAGTTTATTAATCACACTGCTAAGGCATGTCACCTTATCCTTTCCTACACTTTCATCCGGAAGTATATCCCCATACTCATCATCTCCCTTACTACACTCAAAGACTAAAACTTAAATAGAATAAAATGACCGGGAACAAATTTTATTTCAAACTCACTGATATATATGAACCTTTTCTAATGTGTCCGAAAAACAGTCCTCGATCACCAGCTAAACCGAATCCGTCATCATTTTGCTGGTATCCATCGACTTAGGCCGTGTTCATATGAAGTCAGTGAAGGCGCTTTACATGTGGTTTCCCCCGAAGCCGGTTTCAAGTGGCTCCATCTGAACGCTCCGAAATCACATTGAAAGCGCCTCGATCCCAAGCCACTTCTAGAGGTGGTTTCGAATCGGTTTCCCCGCATCGCGGTTTGCGTCTGAACGCAATGTGATTTCAATGTAACTTCACCTGGTCATGGATTACGGGGTGATATTTCTTTATTTATATGCAATACCAACTTTTACGTGGCAGCAACTTAAAGAGCAGTAATGGTCAAATAATGTGTCCGTTCTAGGGCGAGCTTCACCGCCTCTGGCGGGACCACGTCGGCATTCGGCCGAGATACGCTGGGAGGGGGGCATCAGCAAGCAGGTCGTTGACCTCTGACATTAATAACACGCTGCCTTGCGTGTTATCATCAAACAGCAATAAATGTAGCTCAAGCGCATTATGTTCGGACACGGTTTCACAGGTGTGTGTGGCACGTGGACCAGATGTGAGGAATGTGAGTTACCCGAATCGCGGTTGGGCTGGTTTCATATGAACAAGGCCTTGCTATTTTTCTTATAAGGGTAAAACACCCACCGGCCTTTTCCCCAATTGCCGAAACATCTGAGAGCATAATTCAATGGGACGATATACAATTGAGTGTCACTGTGTCAACCTGCAGCACAACTGCCGAAATTTGGCAGGGCTTGTTTTCTCTGTCCAGGACCTGACCTTGACTCACCTTTGTGTGTTACCCGGGTACACCTCTTCGCTGCATAACTACTTTCCTATAATATTATCTGAACTGTATGTTCTCCTGGTCTCACCACTTACGTGCACGGATTTCGTAAAGTATACCATCCTTACGAATCAACACTCTAAATAGATTACCTCTCTGCCTCTCTCTGTTCCGATCACGCGACGGGCGACAGAACTACACCTTTGGAGCGTTTCTCCCTCATAACTTCTCCGTCTCTTGTGGTATTAAAGAAAACGTTACCAGTTGTTAAAGATAGAGGTTGATTGTGTACCACTTTTCCTATCCTTTATATGATTCAATGTACACATGACCAAAGAAAACATCCTCACGTGTGATGACCGTCTGCTCAGCGATGGGGACATCTAAAACCCTTCCTGACCTGTACGAGTGAGCCTTCCAATCCAGTGTTTACTTCCAAACAAATTGATTTCGAGCGGGGAGACAGACGCTTGTAATTTTGGTAACAATGTTTTTGACGTATCAAAATGTTTTTGACGTATCATGTATCTATATATGGGCGACCAACCTAAGTAAATATTCATGAGTTGGCTCCGGGAGGCTCTTGTTCTAACCTGATTAATGATAATGATATGAATCTTTATTGCATGCCCAGATGGGCTTAATGCACAAGAGGATATCCAGTATGTAAAACATGAGTATTTTATACTGGTACACTATATTCTATTGCAAAGTTCTAGGAATCTATACATTACAATAATACTATGAACTACCTATCATCTACTGTTAGTTGCCCTTTCTTCTCTATTTTTGAAACATTTGGAAACATTAATATTCATGTTATCACGCGCTGTTCGCATGATCACCATGGCACTGTTTCCTTTCGAATCTGATAAATATTCATGAGACCGTGAGTTCGCACGTGGCGAGCCCCGCTGCTATCAGAGGCCGTGTCTAAACGGAATCACCCAAGGCGGTTTACATGTGGTTTACCCCGAAGCCGGTTTCAAGTGGCTCCATCTGAACGCTCCGAAATCACATTGAAAGCGCCTCGATCCCAAGCCACTTCTAGAGGTGGTTTCGAATCGGTTTCCCCGCATCGCGATTTGCGTCTGAACGCAATGTGATTTCAATGTGACTTCGCCTGGTCATGGATTACGGAGTGATATTTCTTTTTTTATATGCAATACCAACTTTTACGTGGCAGCAACTTAAAGAGCAGTAATGGTCAAATAATGTGTCCGTTCTAGGGCGAGTTTAACCGCCTCTGGCGGGACCACGTCGGCATTCGGCCGAGATACGCTGGGAAGCAGGTCGTTGACCTCTGACATTAATAACACGCCGCATTGCGTGTTATCATCAAACAGCACAGTCGAACCGCAGGTCACCGTAGAACGCGTTATTCTCTTCGATACGGCATTTGCCGGGTCACGATTTGACCCCGTTGCATGGGTGTAAACAACTGCCTATAGTGTAACAAAAATACCTCAGACCTACATAATGTTTATACTTTTTTCATATCTGCAGGCTTTGCCGTGTACAACCAGGTAGATATTTCGTGCATTGCAAAATAACAGCTAGCGCTACGGCCTTCCAAACATTAGTAATTTTGGTCACTTTATTTGTGCTTGTCTTTTTTGCTGTTCAACTGGATCCCATTAGCTAATACCACAGTGTGATAGCCCACTTCTTCGCCTTTACATTGATGCCAAAGACCCCTGGTAAATTTTATGGCAAACGGGTTTGCCCCCCAAAAAACTGTGACGATGCGCACATCGTGGTGGTCAACTTTTAGCCCAGTTGTAAGCTACTG